TCTCTCTCTCTCTCTCTCTCTCTCTTTCTCTCTCTCTTCCTTTTCTTCTTCATCTATTCCAGGTTTGTTTGCAGAGTGAAGCTGAGTATATACAGTGATTCATGCTGGTTCTCTTCTGTTCCGTTCTATGGAATCACTTGGGAGGAAGTATTGTGTCTTCTTTGAAGGTCTGAGAAAATTCAGTACTGAAGTCATCTGATCTTGAACTTTTCTTTGTTGAGAGGACTTTCGTATTGATCCAGTCTCATTACTCGCTATTAGTTGGTCAGGTTTTATTTTTGTTGTTGTTTAACCTCATCTAGATTCAATTTTGTAAGTCATAAGTGCCCCCAAATGTGTCCATTTCTAGAAAATTTTACACTTTTTTAGCATATAGTTTTTAAAAATACTATCTAATGGTCCTTTGAGTTTTTAATGGTACCACTTGTAATGTTTCCTTTTTTACTATTATTTTTGTCTATTTAAGCACACTCTGTTCTCTCTCCTTTCAATATATTAATCTTGTATATCTTTTTTAAAACATCTATTATCTTTGTTATTTCTATTATTCTTTTACTCTTTATCTTTCATTTATTTTCTTTTTCATTTCTTCACTTCTACACTTTTGTTATTTGTCAAAATGTCATGGTAGGGCTGGGGAGATAGCTCAGAAGGGCCTGCCTGGTAAACACAGGGTCCTGAGTTCAATCCCTAGTGCTGCAAAAAGAAAGCATTTTCTTATAGGGCCAGGGAGATGGCTCAGTAGAATAAGTGCTTTCCTGGCAAGCGCAAGGGCCTGAGTTCAATCCCTGGTTCCAAAAAAAAAAAAAAAAAAAATGTCATGATAGATCATTATATTATGTAAGACTTTTAGTTTTCATTTCTATCTTTTTGAGATTTTAATTTCCAAGATTTCCTCTGGCTCATTTGCAAGAATTCTATCTCTGCTGAAATTCTCATTCATACCATGCTTTGTCTTATCTCACTTAATTGCTCAAATGTATAATCATGGATTTAATTCGCCCCCTAAAAGTCATTCACTTGAATTCTTTACCAGGCATCCCATCTACTTAGTGTCCTGGCAGTCTGCTACTAGAGAGTCGTGGACGTGCAGGTGTGTCACAGTACTTGTTTCTTTCACATTCCTTACGTTTCTGTGCAGAGACTTACACTCCAGTTGGGATGGATATCTCCACCACCTTTATGGTGTTCCTTCTTTTTTAAGGTAGTTTGTTCTCACTCTCTAATTTGAGTGTCAATTCAATTTTTTCATTTTTGCACAATTCATGTGCAGATGGAAGGAATAGTCTAAAGGCCGTCACCCCTAAGGTTCCTTACCCTCAAAACAATATCAGTGCCCCAATTAACTGTTCATGGCCTAACTTCTGTTTATAGATCTGACCAGGAGACCCTCAGCTTCAGAATAATGTACCTTGCTTGAACACAGAGTGGACCAGGACCACGGATGAGACAGATGACTTGATCCCAGAATAGGTCATGTCCAGTTCCCTCATGTTCTGCTGCCCCAGCTACCTCATGTAGCCCCCTTCCTCTGTAAGCCTGTGGCTGTCCTGGGACGTTGGAGCCCACAGCCCTTCTCAGGTCTCAAAGCCCGTCCTCCCCAAGGTTTTTTTTTCTTTCTCTCTTCTGTTTCATGTACTGATCACTATAGTATATTCTCTCTGTAGCTTTTTCAGCTGGGTAAGAGCGCAAAGTATTAGAGTCAGAGATCGGCTGCCTCTGCTGGCCTCACAGGATGGGACAGTAGCAATTCAGACGGGTAAGGTTCTGAGCAGAACATGTAGGGTACACACTCTGGTGTTTCTCCTAGGGTGGAAGTGGTGGCCACTGTCAGGCAGTTGGGGTTTCCATAGATACCATTGCCCCTACTCCGTACACATCCGATGTATAGTAGTGGAGAAGGTGGCAGGAACCATAACAATGAAGTAACAAAAGCCAAGGGTTCATTAAAATGATGAAAGAAATCACTTCAATCAGAACTTCATGATCTCCCTGTCCTGGCAGTGGGAGAAATTGCTTGGCTAGACTGATTCTGTTCTCTGGAGGGACTTTCTTATTTTTCATTTGAGACTCTGCTTAACCAGCTGATAAATTTTCTTTGGTTCCTAAAATCGTTGGTTCTGAAGCAGAGTTTAGAGGCGTAGGCCTTGTAGAGTCACAGTTTTCTTGTCCTCTTTGTAGTGCATTTTTAGGAAACCAAAGGTATATTTATGTGCTCCTTAGCTAGAAATCCTTGAAGTCCAGAGGAGTGGCTTCTAAACTTTCTCAGGTGTTCCCATCCACTGAATTTCAGACGGAAGAATGTCACTGAAGACACAAATACCAAACAAAATGAAAGAAAATCTTCCTTTAATTTTACTTCCTAATTTCCTGATTCTTACTTAGTTAGCATTTCTTCTGGGCCCCCCTCGCTGTCTTTACCAGGCCCTCCAAACAAGCAGGCAGTGGTGGGGAGGCGCCGCGCACCACCTCA